AACTCTATCATTCATGGCTAGCTGAGGAATTCTGGGAGTTGAAGTCCACCAGGCTTCAAGTGGCCCAGGTTGGAGACCCCTGCACTACCCCTCTTAACGGTGGCCAAGTTTGAAATACTCCGGTCTAACGGACAGAGAGACAAGGACGGCCAATTCGGTTAGGAGTCCTGGGCTTGAAGCTCTGCCAGGAAGCCAGATTTTAGAATCAGTGAGTCAGAAGGGGGCCTTGGAGGTCTTCTAGTCCAACCCCTTCCTCAAGCAGGAAGCCCTGCTGTAGGGTCCTTTCGGACAAACGACGGTTCGGAAGTTCTCTCGGTTCGGCTCCGAGGAAGAGTCTGGGCTGCTGGCGAAGACCCCTCCCCTAGGGTGGGTGGGTGGGTCCAAAGTTGTTGGCTAACAGCAGCTCTTCTGGTTTCTTCCCTCCCACCGCAGCAGCCACTGGGATGACGGGCTGAGCCCCTCCCCTGCGCCCAGCGCTCTGCCCTTCGGCGTGTTGTCGGGCATCCATGGTGACGGCGGCGTTGGCATGCAGAGCGCAAGGCCCTCCTCTCCGCTCTCGGCCGGGGTGGTCAAAGCCGGCTGGCTGGACAAAAACCCCCCACAAGGGTGAGCAAGCAGCCCCCCCCACCACTCAAGGGTCCCCGGGTCCCTTCCCCAGCCGGCCCTGGGGGAGAGGGGGGGGGGCTGAGCTTGAAGGGGGTCTGGCCGGCCGGGAGGGAGGACCGCTGGCTCTCGGGGCTGGGCAGCTGACCGGGTCTTTCGGCCGCAGGTCGTACATCTACCAGAGGCGCTGGGTGAAGTTGGACAGTGACTACCTTCGCTACTTCGACAGTGACAAGGTAAGGTGGGGAGGAGGAGGAAGCTGCAGGGGGGGAGGGCTGTAGAGGACGCCTTCCTTCTTTCCTTCCCTCTTTCTTTTTCCTTCCTTCCTTCCTTCCTTCCTTCCTTCCTTCCTTCCTTCCTTCCTTCCTTTTTCCTTCCTTCCCCTCCATTTTCCTTCCTTCCCTTCTTTTTCCTTCCTTCCTTCCCCTCCATTTTCTTTCTTTCTTTCTTTCTTTCTTTCTTTCTTTCTTTCTTCCTTCCTTCCTTCCTTCCTTCCTTCCTTCCTTCCTTCCTTCTTTTTTCCTCCCTTCCCCTGCATTTTCCTTCCTTCCCTTCTTTTTCCTTCCTTCCTTCCCCTCCATTTTCTTTCTTTCTTTCTTTCTTTCCTTCCTTCCTTCCTTCCTTCCTTCCTTCCTTCCTTCCTTCCTTCCTTCCTTCCTTCCTTCCTTCCTTCCTTCCTTCTTTTTTCCTTCCTTCCCCTGCATTTTCCTTCCTTCCCTTCTTTTTCCTCCCTTCCTTCCCCTCCATTTTCTTTCTTTCTTTCTTTCTTTCTTTCTT